AAAAAAAAAAAACCACCTTAACCCTGTTACATTGTGTCCTTTTGAAGGTACTATTGGTCTGGGAAACAGAAGTCCGCAGGGCCTCCCTAATGTCTTTGGAGCTTAAACCCCTTGTATATTTGCCCTCTTTTCAATAAACGCCCCATGTTGATAGCACAGAGGAGCCCGGCATGCACTGTATGGGAAAGCAGTCCACCTTGTTACAGTTTTAAATTTCTTGCTATCTTAGCATTCAGATACCAATGGCTTGCTAAAAGAAAAAAAGAAATGTAATGTCTTTTTATTCTCAGGTCAATCGCTCACACTTTGTTCTGTTTTCAGAATCATTGTTTTATAATATATTATTTTTTCAGTTTTTCTTTTGTTCCAGAAAAGATTTTTTTTGTTAATTTAAAAACGGGCAGAAAGTATTCGAGAAAAACAATGTGAACTGCTTTAGCTTTCTGGGGATTTAAAGGATAGCTTTTCTGCTGAAGCCAATTTCAAGGGGAAAAGTTAAGCACTCCCACTTTCAGAAAAAAAAAAAAACCCACACACAGAGTGTTGAGGACTTGTAGCTTAAAAAAATAAGTTTTAAAAACTGACTTTCTGTATTTATGATAGATATGACCATTTTTGGTGTTGAGTAGATTGTTGCATTGGAAATGAACTGAAGCAGTATGGTAGATTTAAAAGGAAAAAAAAAAAACCTTTTGTGTACATTTAGCTTTTTGTATGGTCCAGCTGACAGCTCCTCATTTGATGTTGTCTTGTTCATTCCTAGCAGATAGATTGCAATCCGTTGATTCGCCTAAGCTTTTCTCCCCTTTGTCCCTTAATTCCACTTTCTCCTTCCTCCTCCCACCCTATAATCTCCCACTTAAGGTAGCTGCCTTCATTTCTTCGAGGGAGCTACAGAATTATTTTATAAAACTAAAGAATTTCAAAAGGTTCTAGGGGTCATTAGGATCCTCACAGATTATTTTTGGTTGGGGAGTTGAAACTTTTTAAAGGCATATAATTCTAGTTACCTATGTCTGTAAGCCTTGTGCCATTTATTGTTTATTTATCCTTCCTCTTTAGCTTTCCCTTTTATCCCTTCTTTTCCTCCTTGTTTGGTAGATGCTTCACATATTCTTTTCTTAAACTAAAGCATTTGTTTCGGTTTGTGTAATTGGGCTGTATGCTTTTCTTTCTAAAAAAGTTTTTGGTTAGGGGTTTTGTTTTTGTTTTCTTTCCTCTCAGAAAAAGAAATTTCATGCTTTAAATAAAATCCAAAGACACACCCTTTCACTGCTGATGCAGAAAAAAGGGAAAGGGTTCTTGTTACTTGAGAATTTGTTTCTGATTTAAACAAACAAGACTTAGTTTAATAAAAGAAAGAGTAAAAACAAAAGATTCCCAGGTTGTTATGTGCTTCTTCTGCAAGCAGAGAGGCAGCTGTTAATGACAATTCCATATACCAAAAGACACATTTTTTTACTTCAAAGTTTTGTCCTTGTGTTAGGCAGTCTGAGCGGCGAGTGATCCAGAGTGCAGCCAACAAAGAAGCAGATAGCAATGTACAAAGAGCAAAAAAGGAACCGTATGCGAGGCACTTGTATTTATGTTAATATCTGTATTCCTGTAACACAAAACACAACATAACATACACCCTTTCTCATCTTAAAACAACGGTCTGAACTTTGAAAGGAAAACTTTGTGCTGCTAAAACGTAGATTTTGGAGACAAATAGATGCTTTGCTGTTTCACTTTCATAGCCAAACATCAACAGAAACAATCTCCCCTTACCCCAAAAGTGTGAAATCCTTTTCCCCTTCATTCTCTTCCTTATGTTTCAAAAGGGAACTTTGAAGACTGTGAATGCAGGTTCCATTGGTCACCTTTCGGGCTTCTTTCCCCAGTGCTGAAGCCACTCAACGACTTTGCAAAAGACTGGAGCATTCCAAGATCTGAAAATGGATTTCTTTTTTTCTTTTTTCTCTTTATCTTTTTTAGCCGGGACTATTTTATTTTTATGAATTTGTTTTTGATTTAATGAAAGAGTAGATCCTGAACTGTTGTACATATTTCTAACTAGGCTGATGCACAGTGCAAATTCTTTTTTTTTAATTTTTTAAGTAGAAATACTAAAGAGTACCATCTAACTATTCATACCAGTATCCAATTGTAGCATAAGGTGTCAAAAACAAGTACACAAAAACATTTGCTGTTTTAACAAACTGTTTTCTTTTAACAAGAATTCTTGTATTTCTCCCTGTGTTTGAGATGAACATTTTTAAATTTTAAAGTTGTACAGTTTTTTGTTTTCCATTATTTTATCTTGTTTGTAACTCTATGAAATATATATATATTTTTTGCCATTTAACTGTTGTATGTTACTCTGTGTCTGTATCATATAGATAAATTGTTTTTGTTTTGGGTTCTCTATGTGATACCAATTAACAATTTAACACTAGCTTTACCTGTCAAGTTCTGCTAGGTTTTTTCTGAAAACTTTGTTTTCAAAAATGATATTGCTTGGTAATAGTGCAATTTCTATCCCTTTTCCTCCTCCCTCAACTTTAAGTTCATTTCCTTGAAATTTTGCTACCCCCCTCCACAATGGTTTTGTTTGTTTTTTGTTTTGTTTTTTGAGCTACTATGCCATCCTCCCTCTGTGAGGCAGAGTGACTGTCAGTGTTTTGTTATGCCATGCCTTGACCTGTGGGTGTATTTGGTAACAGCGAGTGGTTGGGTAGATTGGCTAAGCATGCTTCCACCCACCAGTGTTTCTCAGAGGGGTTATGTGATTGTTTCATCCTGGAGTGGGTTGCACACTCAATGCTTTCCTCTACAACTCTACCATCCACATATGTGTTCATTTAAAAAATAATTCTCCACATTAACTCAGAAGTAGCAAAGCAGTCAGTGATGGTGACAGTTAGAGGTCAAGTATGAGCTAGCTAGATGTTTGTGGGTTGACATCCACTTTGGCTGTGACCGGTACCATTTACAAAGCATGAATTCACTACAATGCTCAACTGTTTAGATTGGTCTCACTAGGAGAGTTTAACTCCTGTCTGTTGCATAGTAGGTAGCTGAATAGGATATCTCAACTCACTTTTTAAATTAGTTCTTCACCTCTATTGACACTTCATACTTTGGTTGTTCTTTTTTTCCAAATATTCCAAAGTGTGGGTTGGCACTACACACCATTCAGCCATAGCACCATATGAACCCACCAAATGGAACTTATTTCAACCATCCTTCCTCCATCCTTCCAAAAAGAAACTTAAGAAGGAAATACACACACACACACACACACACACACACACACACAGAAAAGTTTAATAAATCTAGGAAGTTTTTTTTTTAATTAAAAGCTATTTAAAGAAATGAATGTGGCCAAAGTTTTACATGATTGAAAATAAAGTAAAACAGACGGCATGTGTTTAAACCTGAGTTTATCAGGCATGGCAGGAAGTTGCAGGAGAGAGAGGCAGTGACCCAAGCCAGTGCACTTGATATTCATGGACATATATTTTTTTTAAATAAATTAAAACATTTTAAATAGAAGCATAAATTGAGTTGGTTGTTTGTTGGCGCTGAGATACTGCCCACTGTGAAACAAAGCTTTGACTAGTTTTTTTTGTTTGTTTACTTTCTGGGGGAGGATGGGCAAGTTGGTAGTGGAAAAGAAAGCATAAATGAACGTGACCCTGAGGTGAAGAGGTATATGAACAGCCTTTGCAATGTACAAAAAACAAAAAACAAAAAAAACAAAAAAAAAAATAGAGCAAGTGAAACCAAAAATGATGTTCTTGGTGTTTTTCTATAATGTAGTCTTGTTAGCTTTTTTGTTACTGTAACAATGCTGATCTCGAACTGTACCAAAATACATGGAGACTAACAAACAGAACCACATGGAACTTTCAAACTGAAAAAAAAATTTGTCACAAAAACTTTGTTGTCATAGTTAAGTTGATTGTAGATGGTAATTGAATATACTCCTTTGAAAATATTTCATCAAGTATGTTTCCTGCTCATTGTGATACATTAAAAAAAATATGAGCAAAAGTTCTTGTCTTATGTCATCAGATTTTGTGTGCGTGCATGAGTGATAAAGAGACTGATGACTGGCAGAGAGTGTACAGATGAACAGTATCTTGAGGTTGCATGTACTTATTCCAAGGTACACAAGCTCCTTGGTATTTTTAAGTGTCCTTGTATTTCCCATCTCCTGGTGCTCATGAAAGTGCAGCAAGTTTTGGCCATGATGCTGAGTAACTTCTTTCACTGAGAAGGTAAGCCTGACAGCTTGGATAATTATCTGACCCTTGAGAACCCTAACTGTGTGTGTGTGTGTGTGTGTGTGTGTGTGTGTGTGTGTGTGTGTGTGTGTATGTATGCATGTAATATATATATATATTATATGAGAGTTATAGACACTTGGCATAACCATGAGCAAGTTAAGCTTGCTGATGGCCAAAAGAGAGGTAAGTTCAACCTTTCTGAAATGGGAAGTGGATCCAGTGTTTATGACAGAAGGATATAAAAGGTAAGGTGAATTAAGTTGAATTCACTACATTTACTTTTCCTATTAAAGGATTTTGCTAAACCCTTTTTAGAGCAGAATTTGAGGTAAGAACAGTCTGCAAAACAGTAATAGCATGGGGTCATTCCTATACACAAGAGAATACTCAGTCCTCTTATAAAAAACTCTCATAGCACAAAATGTCTGAAATTCATTAATAAGGAGTATATCCAAGATCAGGCCCAAAGGCCTTCCATTCATCTCTAATTTATAGCCATAGCTGATAAATAATTTACAAAATTCTAGCAGCTGGGCTTGGACAGCACTGCAGACTAGCTGTGTCCTTGCAAGGTCTGCAGCATCTGCCCTTGGCCAACAGGGGTCTTTTCCACTCTAGGAGGTAAGCTATGAAATCCTCTTCTATTGGCTCTGACAGCCATTGTCAACCAAGTCTTTTTTCTTAGTTCCTGGAGCAGGCATTCAAGAAGAGGCAGAGACCCTATTAGCTAAAAATTGCAAAGAATTCTACAATTGGCACAGGCCTTGCTGGTGCTCAGAAAGGAAAAGTTGGTTCCCCTGCCAATGCTAGAACCTCTTATGCCAAACAAGTCATGTCACTATACCTAATAAAATCCTGAGCTTTCCCCAGGCATTGTCCCTTTCTTTTGAGTGTTCCTGCAGGAGCACACTGCTTGTATGTTGGTATGTTTTCTTGGTACACGTTTATTTCACTGATCTTTATTTTGACCCCATGAAAAGGTAAAGTATGATAAAAATCATTCAGACCCAAAGCCACGTCTGCCTTTCTAAGCTATCATTATTTTAGGATCTGGCAGGATCACATTGAAACATTTTAAATGGAACTACTTTACACAGAGGTTTTGCTGCCTCAACTCTTTAGAGGAAGGTGACTACAATTCAAATTCTTCTACAGATAAATTTTTAACAAGAAAATAAGACTAAACCTTAAGTGATGGTTGAGCCCTTTGTATAAGAAAATCTCTAAGCACCTGAATTACATTGAAAGAGGGTTGGGCAAGGGACTCTGTTACTAGAAGGGCTTTTTCTTAAGGGAAAAGAAGGCTTCCAGTCTGGCTTCAATGCCATGCTCATGTGGATATTAATCTCCTTAGAATTAATAGTTTTTCCCCCCTGGAAAATGTGAAACGGCAACATCTTAAAACGGCTGATAGGTGTTAGGTAGCTGTTTCTAATTTTGCTTTAAAGAAATGTCTGTAGTGCCTAGCTCCTGTTATAGACTAATGACCTTCCAAATCTCACTTTTAACAAGTTGAGACTTTAAGTTACAAGAGCACAAGCAGTTTAAGAGTCAAGTTGAAGGATGAGAAGTTTGCACCTGCTGCTCTG